CCTCCTCCTGGAGGATCCTAGGGTCCAAAGTGCAAAAGGAGGCAGACTCAATGGGAGGTCTGGTGGGGGGGGGGGGGTCTCCTTAAAGTTGGAAAACTGAGATGAGAGGCAGGGACAGCAAGAGCAGCTGATGATGCTAAGCCTACCCGAGGGGGGGGGGCATGCCCAGAGGCACGGAAATTAAGGATCCTAGGGTCCAAAGTGCAAAAGGGTGGGACACTGTAGGGAGGCCTGGGTGTGTGTGTGAAAAGCTGGAAAACCAGGTGATTTTCATGATGAATTTATGTGACGAGGTTCGTGCCCATCCATAGTAGTGACTGTTGATGGTGTCTCATTCATAATCACTACTAAAGTTATCAGCTTTTGTCCCTGATCGGTACTGTGTGTTGCTTTTTAAAAGCTGCATTGTTTCTATAATTAGTTAAAGGTAATGTGCTTTAAATGCTTCTTGATTTCTGTTTGTTAACTCTACCCTGAGCTGGTCACGCGTCTCTGACACTCTGCTGTTTTATTAAAGTGCTGGATTGAAGGTGGCCATGAAAACTTCCTTTTAAATCTCCAGTAGTACCCACCCCTCATGCAAGTCCTCTTGGGATTCTGGAATTGAGGAGTGATTTGGTTATCAGCATTGCCACCCAATGCTGGGTAGTAGGGTTGCCAACCTCCAGGTGGCACCTGGAGATCTCCCACTATTACAATTGATCCCCAGGTGGCCAAGATCAGTTCCCCTGGAGAAAATGGCTGCTTTGGAGGGTGGACTCCATGGCGTTGTACCCTGCTGAGGTCCCTCTGCCCTCCCCAAACCCTGCCCTCCCCAGGCTCCATCCCTAAAGCCTCTAGGTATTTCCCAACCCAGAGCTAGCAACCCTACTGGGTGGTTGTGTACATGTGTGTGCATGACTTCCGTGGAAATTAAAAGCTGCTGGAGCTTCATCTGTTTGGCACAGTGGACCAAAACAATTCATTATCCTTTTGTTGTTGTTGTTCAGTCGCACAGTCGAGTCCGACTCTTCGCGACCCCATGGACAAGATCTCACCAGGCCCTCCTGTTTTCCGCCGTCCTCTGAAGTTTGCTCAATTTCATGTTCGTTGCATCTATGACACTGTCTAACCATCCCATCCTTTGCCGACCCCTTCTTCTTTGAACTTCAAGCTTTCCCAGCATCAGGGTCTTCTCCAGTGAGTGCTCCCTTCTCATTTGGTGGCCAAAGTATTTGAGCTTCAGTTTCATTATCTGGCCTTCCAGGGAACAGTCAGGGTTGATTTCTTTTAGGATTGACTGATTTGATCTTTTTGCAGTCCAAGGGACTCTCAAGAGTCTTCTCCAGCACCATAGTTCAAAAGAATCTATTCTTCGGCGCTCGGCCTTCCTTATAGTCCAACTCTCGCAGCCATACATGACTACTGGGAATACCATTGCTTTGACCATGCGGACTTTTGTTGGCAGGGTGATGTCTCTACTTTTTATCATGCTGTTTAGGTTCGCCATCGCTTTCCTCCCAAGGAGCAGGCGTCTTTTAATTTCATGGCTGCTGTCACAGTCTGCAGTGATCTCCTGGCCCATCTAAAAATTGTTAATACGCGAACCAGGCGATTGTTGGATATGTGTACCAAACCTGGCAAGCTTTGAAGCTGACACACAGTTGTTCAGTCAGGGTTTGTTCCCCCAAATGCGGCAGGTTAATGTAGCATCTGTTGTGGTGGAACACCTTTGTTGCACAAATAAGCATTGTATAGAGTGTGTGATGGGCAATTCTCCCTCTAAGCTGTGGAGTCTTGTGAGCAAAAATTCTTCTTTGTGAGCTACTGGTATTAAAGTCGTGAGTGAGCAGTTTGGCTACAGCATAAATTAATTTGCTCCGGAGCCATCCTTTCTGAGCTAAGACAAAAATGTGTGAACTGGAGGCTAAGAAACTGTGAGCTAGCTCACACTAACTCAGCTTAGAGGGAACACTGGTGATGGGTGTAGTTGAACAGCAGGCTAGAGCCCTTATCACCAATTTGGCTAATGCTACACAAGATCAAGACTTATTTGGATGGACAAACTAAAAGTAGAATAATTGTATTTCTCTTGTTAAGCACTAAGTACATACATCATTTTTTTTCCTTCAAAAATTCCATTGTGGTCCTTAAAGTAAGCATGGATCATTGAACCTTATCATGTAAGTCTGGCCAGAGAGACACTGAAGGAAGCCTTGTGGAGAACTCTTATCCCAAGGGCAGTGTGGCTGTTGGCTATCTAAATCCACTAATAGCAGTTTTCAGATAGTGGAAGAAATATATCCCCTGTACCGTAATGGCTCAGTAACTCTGTTCACTTCTCTGCAGAGCTCTTGGTCATAGCAAGATAAAAGACTCCACTTTAGTTTTGTTTTTTTTAAGTGACTCAATCTATCTACCTAGGTCTTGCAGATAAAAAACATTCTTCAAACCATGATACATGTTTAGTTACCAAGCTTGTCTGCTTTATTTTCAGTACAGCAGTCCTAGAATAGTGCTGCATTGTCACTTGGATTTCATTTTGAATACTTGTATCTCACCACTGTATTGAGCCTACCATTGCTTTGTGTATGTATATCATTACTCTCCCAGCCTCCTGCCTGCTTCCTCCCCCACCCCGCGCAGCAGCAGTGGCAACTCTCCGGGAATCACAACGGATCTCCCAGCTACAGAGATCAATTCACCTTAGGGTTGCCAGGTCCAGGTTGGGAAATTCCTGGAGGTTTGGGGGTGGAGCCTTGGGACAGTGAGGCTTGGGGAAGCAAGCAGCCTCAGCAGGGTATAATGCCATAGACTCAACCCTCCAGAGCAGCCATTTTATCCAGGGGAACTGATCTCTGTCACCTGGACAGCAGTTGTAATTCTGGGTGATCTCCAGCCCTCATCTGGAGGCTGGCAATGGTAGTTCTTGTGGAGGAAATGGCTGGTTTGAAGGGTGGAGTCTATGGCATTTTACTGGTCTGAAGTTCCTCCCCTCCTCAAACCCCGCCCTCCCTAGGCTCCACCCCTCATGTCCAGGAATTTCCCAATGGGGAGTTGGCAACCCTGCTTCCTTCCCACCCAACAGCCAACCTACCTTTATCTGCCTTCAGGTTTCCATCTCCATCCCCCTCCCCCACAGCCTCAACCTAGGAAAATTACAGTCTTTCTCCCCAGTGGGGACCAAAGCAGGTTACATTATTGTCTCCTCTTTTTTATCTGCACAACAACCCTGTGAAGTTGGTTAGGCTGAAAGTGTGTGACTGGTCCAAAATCACCCAGTCAGCTTTCACTGGAAGACGGGGATCTGAACCTGGGTCTTGTAGACCCTACTTCGAAGTTCTAACTGCTGCACCACACTGGCTTTCATACAGTGGGTGCTGTTGAAGAGTAGCAAGCAGCTAGGCCTAGTTGAGTCATGCAAATCAGATGGTATCAAGTCACCCAGAGGGTGCTGCCTAGGGATGCCAGCCTCCAGGTGGGACTTGGTGATCCCCTGGAATTACTGCTCATTTCCAGACTACAGAGATAACTTCCCATGGAGAAAATGGATACTTTGGAGGGTGGACTCTGAGGTCCTCCTCAGGGTCCACCCCAAATATCCAGGAGTTTCCCAGCCTGGAACTGGCAGCTTTACCCTCCCCCCTACCCTGCTGGTGGCCAGGGAGGATCTGGCAACCCTAGACTGCTGCCAGGCCTAGGGTTGCCAGCCTCCAAGTGGCACCTGGAGATCCCCCAGAATTATAACTGGACTCTAGACATCAGAGATCTGTCTCCATGGAGAAAATGGTTGCTTTGGAGGGTGGACTCTGTGGCATTATACCCCGCTACGGCCTCTCCCTCCCCCAACCCAGCCCTCCTTAGAGTCCACCACAAAACTTCTAGCCATTCTCCAGCCTGGCACTGGCAACCCTTGTCAGGCCTGGCCCTCTCTCAAATAGGCCTGGAAAGGGCCCTAACCCCCTCCCCATGCCTTTTACTGACAGACCCGGTTAGACGCCTCCCCCCCCCAATGTTCTAATCTCTCACCGTAGATGCCTGGAGTGACTGGCCCCTGTGGAGGCCACTTCAAAAGGTACTGGGGATAATTCAATCCTCCCCAAATTATTTTTATAAACTGTTTGGAGTCCCCTGAGTCTGTAGAAGAAGCTGTGGGGGGAGAGTGAGCCCTCTGTTGCAGAAATAAGTATCTGTACCCAAAACAGACCTTGGCTATTAGATATATAGATGAATCTCTATAAATTTTACTTATATCAGTTACTCAGAATAAGTGTGATGCATATTACAGTAAATGACCAATTAATATCCTTTCGGCATAAGTCATTCAGAATTCAGTTATGAGAATAGCTATTGCTGTAGAGTAGGCCCAATGGATATTAATTGGTCGTTTTTTTGGGGGGGGGGGTTCCTTAGGTTGACCATTATTGTGAAACAGAAAGGACCAATTTTCACATAACTAGAGTTGGATCCCTATTATGGCAAGTGTTATTAAACCTTGTGCACGAACCTCTAGGCCTTAATAGTGATATTTATCATGACACTGCAGAGCTCTGGATTCACCATATGTGGATGCAAGCATTCAGGGCCTCTTGTGTTTGCTGGTGTTAGTAGTGCCTGGCTGTTGTGATACAGGCTGCAACAGGTGTATACCAATAGAATCTGGACAGGCTAGTGTGCCCCATTGTAAAGGAGCAACTGCTAGGAAGTTCAGGTTCAACAGAATAATGGAGTTGCTCAAACTCTCATGGGAGCTGCATTCAGTCAGTTCTATCTCATCTCTAATTCAGTAATAGAGCCAAAAGAGCAAATGTGTATTTTGCCAGATGCACATAAGCTGCAGAATTCTGATTAGCATTTTCAGGATCTACACGTAAGTTGCAGAATTCTGATTAGCATTTTCAGGATCTACACATACCTTGATGATATATCCATATAAATGGCAAAACACTTGTGTCTTCATCCATAAATTACCAGTGTTTGCTTAAGTGCTATCTACTGTAATACTCTCTCTTGTCTTACAGGTCAAGAACGTTTTGGCAATATGACCAGAGTGTATTATAAAGAAGCTGTAGGTGCTCTTGTTGTCTTTGATGTTACAAGAGGCTCAACATTTGATGCAGTTTGCAAGTGGAAACATGATTTGGACAGTAAAGTGCTTCTCCCAAATGGTAACCCTGTCCCTGCAGTTCTCCTTGCCAACAAATGTGACCAGAAAAAAGATGGTGGGCAGAATCTTTCCTCAATGGATCAGTTCTGCAAAGATGGAGGTTTTGTTGGGTGGTTTGAAACCTCTGCAAAGGTAAGGATTTTCTAAAACTGGAGGAAGACTTAAACTGACTTTAAATCATCTGAGAACCAAACACGGCCTACTTGTACTAGCACAATCTTACTGAAAAGTCCACATAAGAACATACGAGAAGCCAATGTTGGATAATGCCAGTGGCCCATCTAGTTCAACACTCTGTGTCACACAGTGGCCAAAAATACCAGGTGCCATCAGGAGGTCCAGCAGTGGGGCCAGGACACTAGAAGCCCTCCCACTGTTGCCCCCCCAGCACAAATACAGTGCATCACTTGCCCCAGCCTGTGAGGAGGACACACCATTGATTTATACAGGGGCATTATGATACTGGCTGGTTTGTTTTCATTTCCCTTCCTAATAATCTACAGCATAGCGTTGGCCTTTTTTATTGCAGTCACACACTGTCTTGACATTTTCATTGAGTTATCTACTACAACGCTAAGCTCTCTCTCTTGGTCAGTCTCTGCCAGTATGGACCCCATCAACGTGTATTTATAGGTAGGATTTTTGGCTCCAATGTGCATCACTTTGCACTTGGCCACATTGAACCCCATTTGCCACGTTGATGCCCACTCACCTATCCTCAAACAGATCCCTTTGGAGTGCCTCACAATCCTTCCTGGTTCTCACCATCCTAAACAACTTCGTGTCATCTGCAAATTTAGCCACTTCACTGCTTACTCCCAACTCCAAATCATTAATGAACAAGTTAAAATGCATCGGACTGAGTACTGATCCCTGCAGTACCCCACTGCTTACCACCCTCCACTGAGAAAATTTCCCATTTATACTCACTCTCTGTTTCCTATTAATTAGCCAGTTTTTGATCCACAAAAGGACTTGTCCTTTTATCCCATGACTATTGAGCTTACTTAGGAGCCTTTGATGAGGAACTTTATCAAAAGTTTTCTGGAAGTCTAGGTAAACAACATCTATTGGGTCCCCTTTGTCCACATGTTTGTTCACTCCCTCAAAGAACACTAACAGGTTAGTGAGACAAGATCTTCCCTTACAGAACCCATGCTGAGTCTTCCTCAGTAGTTTTTGCTCATCTATGTGCCTATTAATTCTTTCCTTAATAACACTTTCGACCAACTTACCTGGTATCGACGTCAGACTGACTGGCCTGTAATTTCCCGGATCTCCTCTGGAACCCTTTTTAAAGATGGGAGTGAAATTAGCTACCTTCCAGTCCTCAGGAATGGAGGCAGATTTTAATGAAAGATCACATATTTTTGTCAGGAGATCCACAAGTTCACATTTGAGTTCTTTCAGAACTCTCGGATGTATGCCATCCGGGCCTGGTGATTTATCAGTTTTTAAGTTTAATGCAGACAGCAGCTCTGACTCCAGAACTTTAACTCCTAGGCAAAATCTAATAACAAAAGTCAGTATGTTCACACCCCACCCCCATAAATTGCCTTTCTGAATCGGACTTCATTATTATCCAGCTTGCTCCAGAAGACCAATGAGGTCAAAGAGTTTATTGGCAATATAAAAAGCAAACATCCCTGTTGGATAAAAAGTCATTGCAGATCAGCAACTCTGACCATCACTGCCCTGATTTGCAATATAAGGATCAGGTCACAAGACGTTTGTGAATTTCACAATATATATCTCAATTTTTGCAAATGGTGGTTGATGACTAGTGGCCTAAGACACTATTATAAGCAGATAGATAAACTTTGGGAAAGACATGGCTGAGAATGGGAAATACCAAGATTTGAAACGTTAAAACAACAAAGAAAGATTAACTAGTACCTTTAGAAATATCATTATTGCCCATTTTGCACTTGAATTTAAGTAGAACAGTTGTTGGATAAAATCTTATGCCTTTATTTAAAAGTGATGATTACGTAAGCACAGCCAACAAGGAGAGAGTAAGCTAATTCCTTCAAGTTCTGTCCTTCAGATACCTTCAATCACTTAACTTTTCCCCTTAATACTAACTGACCCAGCCCGCAGATGAAGCCTGGCTAGCTGCAATGTGTGTGTAATTAATGCTGTATGTTTGTCTTCCCTATCCCTACAAATATTGTTAGTCCAACTGTCTCAAGAGTAACTGTAAATCGCTCTGAGCCCGCAGGTATGTGGGAAAGAGCGATCAATAAATCGAAAGCATTATTATTATTATTATTATTATTGTTATTATTGTTATTGTTGTTATTGTTGTTATTGTTGTTATTGTTGTTATTGTTGTTATTGTTGTTATTGTTGTTATTGTTATTTCTAGTTAGTAGGTAGAGTTTATCTATCATGCAGTTATTTGATATGTGCCGGTCATGTGAAAGATAGGATCACCGGAAAAGACCATCTAGTCCTGGTTGGTAGCCCATGCTGTGGTTCTTTGTTAATGAGCACACAGTCTGAAACAGCTTCATATTTGCTTTAAATAATTCAGTAAAACCCATTATTCCATGTGAATGTGTCGGGGTATATCTGGATGGTACAGCATTCGATAACTGAAAAATTGTTCTCAGATCAAATCTGGGTGATCTCTTGGGATGTTCTCTTAAGGGGAAAAAACATACTTTGGTGATTAAGCATATACTTGGCATGTAGAAGGTACCAGTTTGAAACACTGTGCATCCAGTAAAAATGACTTGTGGAAGAAGGATTGGGAAGAACAAAAGGCATGGGGCCAATGCCTAACTGATCGGATGGCAATGAATATTTAGATATATGTCCTATAGAACTTGATACAGCACAGATGGAGAATGGCTACCCTGAGGCATGTGTCTCTAGCCAGTCATGTATCTGAGTACAGCTGGACTGGGGGAAGATCCTATCCACAGCTGTGACATGCATTGAAATTTGCAGAACAGCATGATGGAGAGTCAAGCAAGGTTGATGAGGTTGCTTTGTCCCTTGTTCTGATGTAGTTTGCAGGGGTCATTTCCTGCAGGAGTGCACAGGAGCGGAGCTCCGGCAGTAAAGAGTCCAGGGGGCGGGCACATGCAACAAGCCCCACCCCCTGCTCCCAGCAGCCCTAGGCCACAAGGAGCAAGAAGCAGCCCTCCTTCTCTCCTTCTTTCCCTCCTTATTTCCTTCTCTTCCTCCCTCTTTCTTTCCCTCTTTCCCTCCTTTCCTTCTCTTTCTTTCTCTCCTTCCTTCCTTTCTGCACAGATCTGTGCGTTCCCTCCCCCCAGCTAGCAATCCAAAACAGTCCAGTTGCCCCTTTAAGGCCAAGGTTTATTCAGGTACAAGTTCTCCCTTCTCTGTGAGGGCAGATCTGCATGTTCCCCCCACCCCCCAAGCTAGCAATCCAAAACAGTCCAGTGGAGCCTGAGCAGTGGGCGTTACTTCTGACACACTTCTGGTGATGTCAGGGGGTGTGGTGTATGCAAATAAGTTATGCTAATGAGCTCCTGCACCTCTTTTTCTATCAAATGACTCCTGGTTTATGGTAACATCTCTGATGCCAAGTGAATCTAACCTCCTATCCTCATTCATATTACCCAGTTGCTAGATGGGATCGCATTGTAAAGTCCTAAATGGCCCAAAAGTAGAAAAATATTAAGGTAATAAGAATCTGTGCAAAAATAAAATAGAGGTAAAATCTCATCAAGGTTTAATTTTTTAAAAGGGCGCTTTACTTGCCCCTTAAGCCTCATTTAGCCCTTCAGACTGAATGTTGGAGAATTCAGCATTACCTTGAGGTTGCTGTCTAAACTTGTTGCACAAAGTAGAAGTAATAATTATGTACTTAATTTGTAATCCTAAATTTTAAGCTACATACCACACAGTTCTAAATTCCTTCACTTAATCTTTTATGAAGCATAACTGTATACCGTGTGTACCATAGAGACGATGGTTTGTACCTTCTGAATTCTTCTGTACAGTGGGGATGGAAATCATTATCTTTTTCTCTTTTGATTTCTTCAGGACAATATCAACATTGACGAAGCCACTCGGTTCCTGGTGGAACACATCCTTGCAAATCTCAAAACCTTCCCTAGTGAAGAGAATGATGTAGGGCACATAAAGCTGGACCCGGATCCACTGAAAGCAGAAAGTAGATCACAGTGCTGTTAATAGGACTGTAATGCGTCACTGGCATAAATTGAGAGCGGCTCCTCTCATCTGGCTGCTGCTATGGTGCTGAATCACAACTATTCTAGTGGGATATTGATCACAATCCAGGGTGTTTACACACTTCTTTTTTTTTTTTCTTGTCAAGTAGGACTTCAAGTAATTTTGTTTATGTTTTCATTTTGGTTATGAACCGGAACTGTCTAGTAGCACAATCAAAAGATGGGCACAGACAAAAAGAGGGTAATTTTTCATCACAAGTGTTGGCATGAGAGGCTCAGCCTTGATATTTTCTTCTGTGCTGTGCAGCTTCAGAAATAGAACAGGAATGTTGGTCTGAATGAAAGTGTTCATTCTGATAAGCATTTTTTATCGTCCCTTTAATATATGTAACAATCTGCTATGGCTGGCATTTGTCTGCTGTTCCTCTTCAATACCAACCTCTTTATTTGACATCAAGACCACAGAACCTTAGATGCTTAACAGCCAAAATTCACAGTTTCTGAATATTGTAATATTGATATGCAATAGCATGTATTCCTAATTCATGGTGTACTTCAAATGTAGAAAAAGACTAATTCTTTGAAAAGAAGATGAAGCTGGTGGAAAGGGAGTGTTGTTGACGTTTCCCACCAGATTATAAATTACTAACTCATCTCTGACTTCTGCAAGTATCCTAGAAAGTTTAAGAAGTCCTATTCTGCATATCGAAACCTTTTAAAGACCAGTCAACTGTTATTGCACAGGTATCATCTTTGGCTAAATACTTATGATGGGCTGGAGTGAATCATGGAATTGATTACTGATTGTTTTAGGAAACAGAGGGGGAGACACAGAAAGCTGCTTCTAGTCTTGTAATTTGTAGGTATTCATACTAATGCAGTCCTTCTTCATCATGCTGCTTTTGTACTCCCTGTCTCTTGCCACTTTTAACTGTTTTTAACACAAGGACTCTGACTTGATAAGGGTGTTACATTTCATGTGCTAGTACAATTTGCAAACCTGTATGTAATCTAAAATGGTGTAAAAGTAGGAAAATGGTGTGGAGTGTTAATCTTGTTCTTGAAAAAGTTACATTGACCACTTGCTGATAGTGCTTATGATTATTTGGGATATAATTTCTGGGGGGGGGGGGACTAGAGTCACTCTCATTGTACATTATAGCATAAACTACTTGGAATACTATATCGTCCTCAGCACTTGGTCTGCCGTAGTAAGCCAGCTGCCATGAATTCTAAAATACTTTCTTTTAGCCTAACGTTCTTAAGGCTTAAACTAGGTCATAAATCCTTGTTAAGTGCCCAGAATTAGATTTGTTAAGATTTCTGATGTCAGAAATTTTTTATAGTGCATATGCACAGATCTACAGTTTTTATAAGATATATTAAGGCACTTTGTCACTTAATTACAGATCCAACAAGCATCTCCTTTATTCCCCCACCCATTCTAACCTGTGCTAATGTTGTTGAAATCATAAACACTTCTAACTTAATTGTTCCAAAACGTCTGTCAACCTAAATATTTGGAATGCTTTTTGATCTTTGGATCCAAACACTGAACTGAGCACAGGTAACACTTTTGGTTTTTAAAGATCAAACTTTCTCTTTCAGAAAGGAATGAAAAAATAAATACTGAGATTGAAATAACTAATACTTTGGTAATCTTATTTGTAACTTGGAAAACACACATGTTCGTTTCCTTCTACCTTCCTTGCACAAAAATCTGTTTAGTGTCAGTGTGACCCCAGTACACAGATATGCAGATGGGGGCAGACTTTGCTATTAGATATGACAAGTGGAGACCCGCAAGAAACTTGCGGGATGGTTATCCTATTCCTCACGCCTTTGCTTCCTCCTGTCTCCCAGCACAATTGTGATTTTTTTAAAGCAGCTGTCTGTTTTGACTTGCACTCAGAACATTTTTTTTTCTTTGAAGAAAGCATAATGTTTGGATCATCAGTTTAACATGTTCAGATCGGCATTGCTCTGACCCTCCCACCATCCAGCATTTTTCTTTGCTTTTTAGTATGCTTTTGATTTTGTATAAATATTTTAGCCCATGTGGTTGTCTTGCAGTCTTCAGTGGCATCTGGAACCTGACGTGCTCATAACAGGAGGCTGAAATTTGAACATTCCTTAGTTAGTGCCCTCACTGCATGGTGGTAGGGGACTAACAAATGGTGCTTCTTCACACTGCCCTCTGCAGGTTTCCTGTTTTTGTTTAGTGTTGTTCACTGATAAAAGGTCTCTCCCTTGCATACCCATAGAAGCAGAAGATTGCAGGCTACAAAGAGATGTAAGCAAGGAGTGGACGGTAAATACTAAATAGCAGACAAATCATAGTAGCATAGGAGGGGGTTCCCTTGCATACCCATAGAAGCAGAAGATCACAGGCTACAAAGAGATGTAAGCAAAGAGTGGAAGGTAAATACTGAATAGCAGACAAATCATAGTAGCATAGGAGGGGGGGTCTCTTAAACATGCTTTTATCTGTCAAAAGAGGCAAAAGATTCTAAAGAGGCCTCTTTTATCTGTCAATTATTTTTGTTGTCATATATTCCAGGATCCATTGCTAGCCTTCTCTGCATTTGGTCCTATATTATGCAACAATATTCTAGAGTGCTTTCTTGATTACCAGGTGGGTAGCTGTGTTGGTCTGAAACAGCAGAACAAAGTTTGAATCCAGTAGCACCTTTAAGACCAAAAGTTTTATTCAACAGTATAAGCTGTCGTGTGCATGCACACTTCTTCACATACCTATAAGTATGGACTGGTAATTTCCATTTCATTGTATCTGAAGAAGTGTGCATGCACAAGACAGTTTATACCCTGAATAAAACTTGGTTAGTCTTAAAGGTGCCACTGGACTCAAACTTTGTTCTTGATTACCAGTATTTATACAACACTGAAAAATCTAATTTTAGAGACTGAGAATTAAATATTATAATTATGATTGTATAATGTATAAATTTGGAATACAGTATAGGGGGAAGCATACTGTAGAGGTAGAAAGGAGCAGTAGAGCCAGCAAAAAAAGATTGGGAGGTTGATGCACACTTGCTGAACGGAGAGGTTGAAAAGGTTGGTGCTTTAGTCATCTGTAGCGTGGTTAATGCTCCGTGTGACCGCAGCCTATGGTTGTATAATGTATAAATTTGGAATACAGTATATAGTTATCCCATCTAAAGGGGGAAGCGTACTGTACAGGTAGAAAGGAGCAGTAGAGCCAGCAAAAAAAGATTGGGAGGTTGATGCACACTTGCTGAACGGAGAGGTTGAAAAGGTTGGTGCTTTAGTCAATGAAAGCTTATGAAACCATATGGTGAAAATACTCTGTATCGACTATCTTGCTCAGCCTTCCTCTACATCAGGTGGCTCTTGTGTTACAGGAAGACTTCCACTTTTGAGTGGAGTGGCTGGATACAGGCCACTGGGCAAAAAGTGTCTGCTATATCCCCTAATACTAGAACCTGGAGAATCAAATGGTAGGTAGTAAATTCTGGCCAGACAATGTACAAAGAACTAGACATAAGCCTAAATTATATGGCTCTTGTAATCCGGATTCACAGGGTTTTTCTTATGTTACCACATGTTTATTACTGTAAGTGCAATTATTATGGCCCATGATGTGCTAGACTACAACTGTAAAGAGGAGGAGGGCAGGAGACATTAGTTACACAAGAATGAGGCAAGTTGCTTCTCACTATTCCAAAACAAATTAACTTCCTTTCTCCTGCTCACATTTGATTAACCTTTTCTAGTAACTAAAAAACCACCAGCCTATTGGGAATTTTCCTGGTGGCTACTCTGCCCCAGGTAGGGTTGCCAGTACTTCAATGGGCTATTGTTAAGTCGTGCGCTTAACAAAGAAGTCGGAGAGTGATTCAGCAAGAATGCGGTTTATTCTTCAGCTTAGTTACTTCTCCGTTACGGTACAACAATCGCCAGCCAGAACCCATCACAGATCCAACATTCGAACCAAGACATACACTGGCTGCTCTGTATTTAAACATTCCCGGCTAATGTAGCCACACCCACTGTACAATAAGCAACCTATGAGGTTGAAGCAATAAGGACCAATCACAAGCGATCCCGCTCTGCACGGTGATTGGCAAACATATTCTGGGCTAGGGCTCCTATTGGTTACATTAGGATCCTAGCCCAGGGCGAAGCTTAACATGGCATCTCAATGGCACAGTTCACAAGGCAGTTATATACATCTCAATACATAACAAATCCCTCCCCCCTAAGCAAAAACACTATGTACAATCATAATCGCTTAGGTACATTGGCGCTCTGCGCGATCTCTGAGACCTGCGTAGCTGTACAGGTTCAGGGCACCATAACATTGACTCTCAATGGCACAGTTCACAAGCAGTTATATACATCTCAATACATAACAAATCCCTCCCCCCTAAGCAAAAACACTATGTACAATCATATTCGCTTAGATAGGTGGGCACTCTGCGTATTCGCTGAGACCTCCGCGGCGTAGGAGGTTCAGGGCACCTCTGAATTGGGGGCACTCGGCTTGACTCACTCTCGAGTGGTCAGGTACGCTACCATCCCTTGCAGCGGGTCCAAGAGTAGGGGTCTGCCCTCCCTCAGGGACAGTACTGGGCTCGGCAGGCTAGGGGGGGTGGGGCGGCCAGTCGCCCACCGCTGCCTCAACTGGTCCACATGTCGCCTCCATTTGCGCCCGTCCGCAAGCTGGACTAAATACATGTGGGAACCCACTACCTCAGTTACAGTGGCTGGAAGCCACGAATGTCCCCCAGCATAGTTCTTGGCGAAAACAGTATCACCGCATTCGTAAGTGCGGACCTTATTGGGAACAC